TTTCGACTATGTTACTCTCCATAACCAAGCTTTCAACCATGTTACTCTCCATAACCAAACTTTCAACCATGTTACTCTCTATAACCAACCTTTCAACCATTGATTGAAAACATTGGATTACGATTTATCAACTAATATCGTTGTTATTGTCACATAAAACCGAATATTTTTTTGATGAAACTACTAAATTATGTTATCAACATGTGTGTCGATTGTTATAGTACGTACAGTAACGATCACGTACTTCACGTACGTAATATTCATCGTTTTTCATGGAACGAATACTATGCGTGTTAAAACACAATTTAAAGGTCACGAAGAATCGTAATCTAGTTGTATTAAGAAGTACTATCAAATAACAATATCAAGATATGCATGTTTTGTCCATATTACACATTTAACAATATATATAAATTCAATGTCGACACAGCGTAAATCTATCATTACTTACGGTATTTGCCGGCATTTGGCCACTGGTACTATGTGATATAGTAAATATGTCATTTTGATGTGATTGTGAGAGTGTATGCTTCTCTCCATTACATCTACTCGCCATCTTGATACCTCAAGCTGATACTAAGTTAAATTGCGTAAAAATAAAACATTTTTAAAATAACATAACCAATACATTGAAAATACTGTCACGGAACAATTATACGCAACTCGAAACCGACGATGTTGTAGCACTATATTTCAAGATGATATGTACACAGTGCATGTATGAAAATGAATGCAGTATATTGAATATGAATTAAACAAATCAACTAATAATTCACGAATTGACTGAAAACATCTTTGACAGCTTATAATAATACCAGTTATTGCAAGGATGCAATACATATATTATCATTTCAATTTTGTTTTTATCATAATTTGCTATTGTTGTAAACCATGATCTCAGATTTTATTTATTTATTTGTTTGTTTCCTATTTCAATTTTTTTCAAATCTTACTGTGTCATAATTATTATTATTATTATTATTATTTCAAATGTAATGTTTTCCTTGATGACACCCTATGGAACCAGAATTTACGATAATCAAAAAAAAGGTTAGAACGATGATATATAGGTATTATCAAACCATGTTGTTAAGAAATCGTATTTGCAGATCGTGACATTTTTCAGTTTACATTTTAACATTGGCATCCGAGTAACGCCGTCATTTGTACTTATATATACGTCATCAATATACAGTAATGATTTATGTTATTGTATTTATTATGTGCATTACGGGTTTCCGTGACAAGTGAATGCCGTGCAGGTAGAAACCGCCGATTACCTCACCTACAAAAAATGCGTACTTATAGCGCTCATAGCGTTCGCCTACTGCTGTATTTCATACCAGCGGGAGGGGTTACTTGGCCAATAAGATGATATATGCCTGTACGTTCTGAATTTCATGGACAATAATAAGTCATTGGTGTTCCGAGTTTTTCCGAAAGTCGCATTTTATCCAAAAGGAACATATGTCATATGTCCAGCTATATCAACGAAGTGCCCCCAAGATTTAACACCGCGGCACGCTCTCGTAATTATTTGCCATTAAAAAGTGTGATGTGAGTAGTTAACATAAATGTGATTTCATTATTATACATAGAAGCGCATCTAATAGTCGGGAAATCACGACTGTGAGTCAGACAGTGATTTGATATGTAGTTGGGGGGGGGGGCATCTTCGTTCCAATCATCATGCTTTAACCATGGTTGGTGACGATTGACGGGATTGTCCCTGCGTAGCTCCAAGATCACGACAAAACAAGAACCTATGCAATTCTGGAATAAAATTCAATTTACGATGAAAAATTTAAAAAATGTACTGACCGAGTGTCATCCAATTTCTGCTAACAGCCACCCATTAAGTTGTTGTTTCCTGTTTCCTTTGGTTTGTTACAAGATCCGTGTCGGCAGTGAAACGGCACAACAAGTAGACGGTTCGTAAGGTGTATCAAAGTCCGACTTTGATGTATAATGTTGACTTAATGACTGTTAATGTGATCATTTGATTTATACTTTATGTACTAACTCGTAACACGTACCAATATCTACTTGTATATTTCCGTTCGTCATAGCTGGATAGCT